AATTTTTTTTTCTCCTAAAGTTAGACAACATTATATTTCTCTCTTTGAAATTGAGGTTTCATGCTCAGGAAATAAGGTTGAAAAATCCTTTGTTAGCAATATTAAGCATAATTATAGTTCCACTTTGTATACACAATTTTGGCTGAGTATATGAACAATGAGAATATATTTAATTAGAAAAACGGTTTTCTCTAGTTCTGCTTTAGGGTTTATCTCAGAAGATATTCAATTAATGAATGTTTTATGTGGTAATTAGTAAGTGTATGTTAGTACAACTAAAATTGGATTATAATTTCATGATTACTGTTTTTTTGGAAGGGGACGAGCTGGCCACTGTCCCTGAGCTCTTTGCTCAAGGTTAGCACTCTGCCACTTTGAGCCACAGCTCCACTTTTGGTGGTTAATTAGAGATAAGACCATGGGCTTTCCTGCCCTAGCTGGCTTTGAACTGTGATCCTCAGATCTCAGCCTCCTGAATTGCTAAGATTATAGGTGTGAGCCACCAACAACTGGCATGATTATTCTTTAGAGCATTTAAAGTTGAATTTTGGGACTTTTAGAATCCATAATTGGTATGTGTGTTTGTGTATGTATGTATGTAGATATATACACACATGTGTATGCATATGTATATATACACACACCTATACACACACACACACACACACATATGTACACATGCTTGAGCTGGAGCTTGAACCCAGAACACTGTGCCATACTCTACCACTGTGCCAAGCCAAAATAGAAGGAAGTAATGTGTGTATACAGTTCAGTGTCAGTTACAAAAGGAAAGAAAATAGGAAAATCAAGGGGAAAAACAGCAGAGAAACTAATTAGAAGATATCTGATTACTTTGACCTTGAATAGGGAGAGAAGAGTTTTAGGAATTAAAAGTTAAATAGTCTTCACCATTTTCACGCAGAAAAGAAGTTAATGCAGGTGAAGAAGTTAATAACCCTTGAGAACTGGTTGTGTGTGTGTGTGTATGTGTGTGTATGTGTGTGTGTTTAGTGGTACTGGGGTTTTAAACATAGTCTTTGGCTTGCTAGACCAGTGAACCATGCCCCAGCCTTTATGCTTTAGTTATTTTTCAATTAGTGTCTCAGTGTATTATACCTGGGCCAGCTTGGACTGTGTTTTTCCTACTTACACTTTCTACATGGCTGGTCTTACAGGTGTGTGCCACCAGCCTCAGTTATTTTTTTGAGATGGGAGTCTTTTGCCCTAGAGAACCTTAAACTTGGGTCATCCTTATCTCTGCCTTCCAAGTAGCTACGATTACAGGTGTGAGCCACCATGTTTGACACTTTAAGAAACATTTTTGATCAAAGATTAAAACAATTTTTTTCCTTATATTTAGCTTTTGGTTTGGCATCTGAGATGTTAAGACCGGATTCATCTTAAAAGTATTTTTGTTGTTATTCTTTTGGAAAGATTAGGGGCTTGAACTTGTTCAGTTTGTTTGCTTGGCCAGTGCTCTGCCAGTTGAACCACACATCCAGCCTAGCTTTTTGCTAGTTTTTTTGGAGATGGTGTCTCTTAGACTTCTCTTCCTGGGCTTAGAATTGTGATCCTCCAGGTCTTAACCTCCTGAATAGCTAGGACTACACCTGGCATCTATCTCTTAAAAGTTTTGATTCCCTACTAATGTTTGGAAAAGAGGTAAAAGTTAGGTGTTTAGAATTGGTCTAACCAGAAAAACTCCTCAAAAAAAAACAAAACTGGTTAAGGGAGTTCTTCATGATGTAGGAGACTGGTTGTGTGTTACAACATGTCAAGCTGCATTGTGGAGCAAGACTTGTACTGAATGCAATGTAGAGTGAAATGTGAAGTGACAAAGGTTTTCTTGCACACACTTGTTATTCTAACTGTTAGGGGGCTGAGGCAGAAGAATCACAAATTTGGTGCCAGCATGGGCCTAAGACTTGGTCTCAAAAAAATAATTCCTGGGGCTGGGAAAGTGGCTCAGTGGTAGAGCGCTTGCCTTGCATGCATGAGGCCCTGGGTTCGATTCCTCAGCACCACATAAGCAAAAAGAAAAAAAGCCGGAAGTGGCGCTGTGGCTCAAGTGGTAGAGCGCTAGCCTTGAGCTGAAGAGCTGAGGGACAGCGCCCAGGCCCAGAGTTCAGGCCCCACGACCGGACCCCCTTCCCCCCCCCCAAAAAAAAAAATTTGTCTTCCTTGATAATTTTATAAATATCCTTCCTGCTAGCCTGCCCTAAAGAGTAATCATGAAATTATAGCCCACTTCTTTTTTTTTTCAAATTCTTTATTGTGATTAAGTGATTACATAATTTCCCAATTTCACAGTATTATGGGATAGTGATGCTTAGTTAAAGTCACAAACACAGCCGGGCGCTGGTGGCTCACGCCTGTAATCCTAGCTACTCAGGAGGCTGAGATCTGAGTCGCGGTTCAAAGCCAGCCCGGGCAGGAGAGACTGTGAGACTCCTATCTCCAACAAACCACCAGAAAACCAGAAGTGGCGCTGTAGCTCAAGTGGTAGAGCGCTCGCCTTGAGCTGAAGAGCTGAGGGCAGCGCCCAGGCCCAGAGTTCAAGCCCCACGACCGACAAAAAAAAAAAAAAAAGTCACAAACACATTCTAGCTTTCATGGGGTAAATTGTCTATCATGATCTATAACATTTATGAGTTCTGTGAGCTTTGCAGTACAGTTATTTCTTTAACATTGGGTGATATGTACATCTCTTTTGTTTTGCATAGCACCAGCTGTTCCCTCTTTCTATAGCCCACTTCTAATAAATTTTATTATATATATTATATATAATAAATTATATATTTGAGATATGGTGCATAATTAGGTGTTAATTTCACTAAAGGAATTTTTTGTGCTGGGGTTGGGGCTTCAAATCCAGGCCTGGGCATTATCCCTGTGCTCTTTTATTCAAAGCTAGCATTCCATAACTTTAAGCCACAGCACTACTTCTGGTTTTCTGGTGGTTAACTAGAGAGAAAAGAGTCTCATGGACTGTTCTGTCCATGTCTGGCTTTGAACCCAGATCCTCATATCTCAGCCTCCTGAGTAGCGAGGATTACAGATGTAAGCAATTGGTGCCAGGCTTATTAAAGAATTTTTTCTATTATATCAAATATCTAGCTTGTGTATAATCCAGTTGTTCTTTTTTTTGGGGGGGGGGTCCAGTCGTGGGGCCTTAACTCTGGGCCTGGGCACTGTCCCTCAGCTCTTCAGCTCAAGGCTAGCACTCTACCACTTGAGCCACAGCGCCACTTCCGGCTTTTTTCTTTTTGCTTATGTGGTGCTGAGGAATCGAACCCAGGGCCTCATGCATGCAAGGCATGCACTCTACCACTGAGCCACCTTCCCAGCCCCTATAATCCAGTCTTTAAAAAATATTGTAAACTAAAATTTAAAGTCTTGATATAATAAAAGAAATGAATATTGTTTTCATAAAGACTGAGCAAAACAAACTATTAGCAGTATTGTTTTTCTGCTACCCAACACTGTGTCTGATGTATTCAGAGCCCTCATGGATTACTTGGAGAGATTTTTGACTTTTTGAGACTGTTTCCTGAATGTAAGCAGTCTTTCTGCCTCTATCTCCAGAGTAGTTGGGACTATATGCGTATTTAGAATTAGAAACATACACCTTACAATTTTTTAAAATTTGTTAAAATAGAGGATTGAGATTGGTTTTTGATTAGCATACATTTGTAGTATGGTTTGACTGCTCTGTGATATTTCCATACATACACATAGTACATTTTGAACAGATTCACCTATTCTACCATATTTTCATTCCTCCCTACCCAGAAATGAGAATTCTTTTGGTCAGGTGTGCTCAATTATAAGAAATGAGTTGTGATCTTTTGGCATATCTTTTATAAACTTACAAGTTTTGCAGTTAAAAAAAGTACATTTTAGCTAGCACCAGTGGCTCACCCCTGTAATTCTACCTACTTAGGAGGCTGAGAGCTGATGATTGTGGTCCAAAGCCAGCTCAGGCAGAAAAAGTCCACGTGTGACCCTTATCTCCAATTAACTACTCAAAAACTGGAAGTAGCACTGTGACTCAAGTGGTAGAGCACAATTGATCATTTAATGGAAAAGGAAAAGGACCTTAAAGGAAAAGAAAGTATAATGTTTAATTTACATTTACAAAGATTTGCATTTATAAAGATTTCTTTTGAAAGAAAGGCACTGGTGGCTCATACCTGTAATCCTAGCTACTCAGGAAGCTGAGATCTGAGAGTCAGTTTGAAGGGGGGGGGTCCATGAAACTTTTCAGAATGACATTTCTTTTTGGATTTTTTTTTCTTTTGCGATTTTTTTATAAAGTGAAGCATTAGAGTTATTTGTACATTTAAAATTCTGTGGATAGTGTATGAGAATATTGAAACATTGATTCAAGAGAATATGTGTTTTGATCAATTTAGAAATGTGACTTTACTTCCTTACCAGCATTGTATTTGAACTCTATGTGCTTCACGTTTCATCTTTACATTCCCTCTCTTTTTCTTTCTTTCTTTCTTTCTTTCTTTCTTTCTTTCTTTCTTTCTTTCTTTCTTTCTTTCTTTCTTTCTTTCTTTCTTTCTTTCTTTCTTTCTTTCTCTTTCTTTCTCTCTCTCTCTCTCCTTCCCTCCCTCCCTTCCTTCTCTCTCTTTCTTCCTTTTCTTTCTTTTTCTGTCTGTCTGTCTGTCTGTATGTCTGTATTGGGGCTTGAACTCAGGGCCTGGGTGCTATCCCTAAACTCTTTTGCTCAAGGCTGGTGCTCTATCAATTGAAGTCACAGCACCACTTCTGGTAGTTAATTGGAGATAAGAGTCTGTCAGACTTTCCTGCCCAGGCTGGCTTTTGAGATCCTCAGATCTCAGCCTCCTGAGTAGCTAGAATTACCAGCTTATGCCACCAGCATCTGGCTTTATCTTTACATCTTCTTTGAATGTATAGTGATGGTCAGTTTAGATAATTTGCGTGGGTTTTTGAAATTGCTGAAGTAACATCATTTTCTTTGTTTCTAGTGCCACCATGGCAACTGCACCATACAACTACTCTTACATCTTTAAATATATTATTATTGGTAAGTTCATTAAACTTACACTTTTGTTGACATATAAAACATTTACTTTTAATACTTAAATATACCAGTCCTGTAGAAGTGAGTAATTTTCTCATTTCAGAACTTAAAGCTCCTTTAATAAAGTACCTTTTGCATTGTAGCTTTGGGTACTTTTGTGCTATAGTGCTAAGTACTAGTGAAGTGATATTGGTTGTTCTTGAAGACTTCTGGAAAACTTGTTAATTCTGGGAATAAGATTAATGTCCTACTAGTGCTGAAATATTCCAAAAATAACATGAAAAAACAACATGAAAATTCTTTCAGGTCCCAGTAGATTCCAAGAATTGGTAGAGTTTTGTGTGATTCAGAGAGTAAGTTGTACATAAAGTATAATATTAGTGCTTTCCCTTTAAATTTCAAGATTTTGTTCCCATTAAATCTTAATGCTGCTTGTCCATACGTAATTGTGAGAATGCAGTTGAAAGCCCACTTGCTCTTCAGTGAGTTCTTGAAGTTAGAACATTGTTCTAATGTTGACTTCATGTAACTTTGTTATACTTCTTTACCATGGGTTACAGTTGTTTCAGCAGAGTCAGAGAAGACATCTATTCTGTTACAGTTTCCATAATATAGTTTTTCCTCTTTTGGAATTCTACAAGAAATAGCTACAACAGGGAACCTAGTGAGTCAAGCTTCCAAAATTGAACTTGTTATTTTTGCTTGCTAAATATATTCTACCTCATTTGTTACACTTTTGCTTCTGAAATAGTTCCAAGGGAGTGGGGTTAAGGCAAGCTTGAAATAACTTAAAGTAAAAAAATATTATTGTAATAATTTTTCTGTTACTGAGCACTTTTCAGTTGGTAACATAATTCATAACCAATTTCTATCACTGGGAAAAGTTAGGAACGGTCAGTTGGTATGTATTTAGTGAAAATTGATCTATCTTTTGAATTCATTATAAGGGAAATAAAAGTTTTCTAACTGCCCCAGAAACTTGTGATGTGGTATGGTAAGTATTTGGCAATCATTACATTGGGTTATAAGAATATAAAATTGAGAAAAAAATGTAATTGCCACCTGAACCTTTTTTTTTTCCTTAAACAGGGGATATGGGAGTAGGAAAATCTTGCTTGCTTCATCAGTTTACAGAAAAAAAATGTAAGTTCAATATGTGACGTGAAACATTATTGTTACACTTCTTTTTAACAAGTGCTTTCTTCAGCATATTTTATGTATTTGATTATGACTGTTGCCAGTATTTGCGTTGATATCTTCAGATGCAGATTTTTAAAATAGGTACAGGTAGAATGGAATATTATTGCCAATATGTATATATATTGATTTGTATATGTGAGACATAATCCGATTTACTTAAGAATATTTTTTAATAAAGTGATTTTTTAAATGCATAAGATAAAGTCAGATTTAAATAATCTCTTTTGTTCTTCATTATAGATATATAGATTAGACATTTTCTGCATAGTCCATATCAACTAATTAGTAGATGTGAAATACTTAAAATGAAATTCTTTTTATATTTATAGCTAGTTGGTAAAGATTCAGAGATAACTCTTGGGCGATAGGGGAAAGGGGCCAATTTGTTGTAACTGAACAGTGAGATTTTATATCACCTAATTAAGAGGAAAGGACTACTTCTTTTTTTTTTTTTTTTAAGGACTACTTATTCTATGGCTTATCAGTATATGAATAACATTAAATGTGGTGATTTTCTTTGAGACATTGATAATAGTTTTGACTAACGATTCCTAGCATCTCAGGACCATTGTTTATTGTAATAGTTAAGGATTGCCAGAAGGTTTAAATAGTGTAATGGAATTGTGATGAATTTATTCAATTCTTAAGAGTGTTACTTAGAAAATTTTTAATTCAGTGGCAAGTAAACTGGCCAGTTGTCAAAATCTAGTCACTTCTTGTTTTGTAAGTAACATTTATTGGAACACAGCCATGCTTATTTTATTTGTTGTTTAAAACTGCTTTTATGCCTCAGGCTGGTTTGAGTAGTTGTGACTGATACCATTTGGCCTACAGAATTTAATGTTTACTGTTTCTAGTCTAGTTACATTTCTTGTTGATCTTTGCTGTCTCTCCTCTTCCCTCCCCCTACAAATATTAAAGTCATGGATTATTCAGTGAATTTTCTCCCACTAGTCTTTGGAATTTTCTGAACATTGGGATATTATTTTTACCCTTAACAGTTATGGCTGATTGTCCTCACACAATTGGTGTTGAATTTGGTACAAGAATAATTGAAGTTAGTGGCCAAAAAATCAAACTGCAGATTTGGGATACAGCAGGACAGGAGCGATTTAGAGCTGTTACACGAAGCTACTACAGAGGAGCTGCGGGTGCACTTATGGTGTATGATATTACTAGGTAAGAGGCAAATAACTTTTCAACCTTCATACTTAGGAGTAGAAATCTACTTTGGACAATGAGGGTTTTTAAATAAATTGATTTAGGTATTCTTTAGTTTGTAGTTAGATAATTGTAAATAAATTTATTTGGGGATGTATGGTTTCTCTAAATTCCTGTATAAAACTTGACTTTCATTTCTGAAGTTGATGTGATGGAAGAAAAGCTTTAGGAGATGGTGGGTAGAATTCTGAATACCAAATGTGTCTGAGGCATTCTGTCTTCAGTCTTTAGTGTTAAAATTTCTGGAAATAGTCAACCAGAGAGGTCACTATGAAGTTTTGCTAGTTTAGTATGATGGGCTATAAAAGTTCTTATGCTTTGTTTTCAGGCTAAAAGTGTTATTTTTTTATATATCTAAGATTTTTGTTAGGTGATGATTTATATCTAATACTTGAGTAATTATTAATTTATTTAAGTTCTTTTTTGCCCTAACACATATTGAAGTGACTTAAAATACTATGCAGCAGGATTAAATTTAGTCAACAAGTACCTGGCACTAGTGAATTCCTGTAATTCTAGCTACATAGGAGGTTGAGATTGGAAGATTGAGGTTCAAAGCCAGCACAGGCAAGAAAACTTGCGAGACTCTTACCTCCAATTAACCACCAAAAACCTGCAACTGGAGGTGTGGCTCAAATGATAGAGTGTCAGTATTGAGTGAAAAAGCTAAGGGACAGTGCCCTAAGTACCAGCAGTGCCCTCACCCCCAATACACAAAAAAATATCAACATGATTATTTCTGGAAACTCAAAGCATTTGATATAACATACATGGTGGTCATGCCTGGCAGCCTGGCCACTTGGTAGGCAGAATGGGGAAGACTGGGTTGAAAGCAGCCTGGCCAAAAAGAGCCTCTGTAAACAAATTGGGAGTGGTGATGAAGTCTGTGTGTCAGTTATTTTGGAGGTCATAAGTAGGGAGATGGCTAGCCCCTGACAGAAATTTGAGACCCAACTTGAAAAACAACTAAAGCAATAAAAGGGCTGCAGAAATGGTAGAGCAACCACCTGCTTACAAAGCTCAGGTCCTGAGCCTAAAACCAGTATTATTCCCCCAAAAGATGAAAGAAAAAAAGGTTTGACTGGAGAACATGGACATATGTGCCCCTTGTACCCTGTGATTGTTCAATGAGCTAGAAAATGAACTGGATCACCTTTCATGTTGATGGGAAGCACCAGTCAAAAGTAGTGTGACTCTCTAGCGAGGGGAGCCATGTTTATTACTACTTTGAAGTATATTTTTGTTTGGTAAATTCTTTACATTATTTTCTCCTTAAGAGTCACAGGGTGGGCTGGGAAGTTGGCTCAGTGGTAGAGTGCTTGCCTTGCATGCCTGAGGCCCTGGGTTCGATTCCTCAGCACCACATAAGCAAAAAGAAAAAAGCCGGACGTGGCGCTGTGGCTCAAGTGGTAGAGCGCTAGCCTTGAGCTGAAGAGCTGAGGGACAGTGTCCAGGCCCAGAGTTCAGGCCCCACAACCGGACCCCCCCCCCCCCCCAAAAAAAAAGTCATAGGGCATATTGGTATATTATGACTATTTCTATAGTAAAGAAATTTACTGGGCTGGGAAGGTGGCTCAATGGTAGAGTGCTTGCCTAGCATGCATAAGGCCCTAGGTTCTATTCCTCAGCACCACATAAATAGAAAAAGCTGGAAGTGGGGCTGTGGCTCAAGTAGTAGAGCGTTACTACTAAGGGACAGTGCCCAAGCCCAGAGTTCAAGCCCCACCACCGACAAAAAATAAAAAAAGAAATTTACTATTTAACTTTAATTTGGCAGTTTCCTAAGATTTTTTATTGAGGAAGCCACTTTCAGTAAAGAATAAAGATCAGGGGCTGTGAAGTTGAGTGGTAGAGTGCTTGCCTTGCATGCATGAGGCCCTGGGTTCGATTCCTCAGCACCACATAAACAGAAAAAGCCAGAAGTGGCACTGTGGCTCTAGTGGTAGAGTGCTAGCCTTGAGCAGAAGAGCTGAGGGACAGCGTCCAGGCCCAGAGTTCAACCCCCACAACCAACAACAACAACAACAAAAAGAATAAAGATCAGTGGTTGACTATAATTACAGTATATAAAGCTTCAGCATATTTGTATAACTGGATGGCCTTGGGTGAAACAAGTGTTAATGCTCTTCATGGCAGTGGGTCATTGGTGACAGGGTCAGTCAGTGGCATTGTGATTGTTGAAGAATCTGGCCATCTATACTGAGCTGTCTCATTTTATAGGTTCTATGTTCCTGAAGATTTAATGTCGTTAAAAGCTCTGTGCATTAAATTTAAATGTGATAATCTGTGCTTACAATGTAATTGGCTTTTGATTTTAAACATACCCTTTAAGCATAGTAGTACTATGGTAAAATTTGTGTCTATTTAAGTCTTCAAAAGTACTTTGGATGCAAAATGTTAGGTGATAAGACAAAATTAACTGGACTTAAGAAACAAAGAACTTCCACTCATCTGGTCGAACCACTACTAAATATCCCCATGCTGCTGATAACATGTATGGTGTATATGTGTACACGGTTATATATTAGAGACCGTGATAGACAATTTGCTCCAGGAAAGTTAGAATGAGCTTGTGACTTTAAATGAGCATCATTATTCCACAATACTGTGAAATTTGGGAAATTATGTAATCACTTAATCACAATTAAAAAAAAAGTACTTTGGATGGAAATAGTTGATAGGAATGTCCATAATCTGATGAACAGTGGAGTATATCCCTATGATGAAATATTTTTTTGCTATAAAAAGGAATGAAGTAGAATGATATACATGATATAGATAGATTGAGAAATTATGCTGAATTAAAGAAACCAGGCATCAAGGGCCACATAACATGATTCTGGTTATGACATAACATATACAGAATAAGCAAATCTATGGTGGACAGAATTGCAACACACGAGGAGTTAATGGGTTCAGAATTTGTGTCTTTGTGGTCCTGTAAATGTTCTAGAATTCGATAGTGATGATCAGCTCCCAGCTTTGTGAGTATAATACAACAGCTAAATTATATACTTTAAAATGGTAATATTGTGTATTCATCATGTGTCAATATAACTTGTTGAAAAGAAAGGTATTTCATGCTTTATAAACATGCTTTAATTCTGGCACTTTATAGTGACAATTGATATTGGAGTTAAGACCCTCTCCCTCATTTTTTTCCATTATTAATCCTTGACATTTTGCAAACTTTAAAATTCTTGCTTTAATAAAACTTCCCAGTGGGCTGGGAAGGTGGCTCAGTGGTAGAGTGCTTGCCTTGCATGCCTGAGGCCCTGGGTTCAATTCCTCAGCACCACATAAGCAAAAAGAAAAAAGCCGGAAGTAGCGCTGTGGCTCAAGTGGTAGAGCGCTAGCCTTGAGCTGAAGAGCTGAGGGACAGCGCCCAGGCCCAGAGTTCAGGCCCCATGACCGGACCCCCCCAAAAAATAAAATAAAACTTCCCATTCAACTGCAGTCATTACAGTGCTCCTCTTCTCTCCTCCCTTTCCCTTCCTCCTCTACTTTTCTTTTCCCCTTGCTTCCTACTGCCATTTTCACATGTGTACATCGAATAGTATGTCTTGAATTGCCCCCTTATCCTCTATTTGTCTGCCTCCTCCCCTAAAGCCTCAGTCCACCAGATCAGGTGCACATTTCAGCTTCCTGGTATTCATTTTGTTAAGCTGTTTCTTGTTCAAAAGGGTTTACACTATGAGAATCCACCTCTGCATATACTATTCTTTAGTCCATTTGTTCATGCATATATGCCTATGGCCCTGGATGTGTTTTCATATATGATTGTATTTTAGGTCTAACCTCCACATAGAAAGAAAACATGCACCCTTTGTCTCTCTGAGCCTGACTTAAAAACTTTTCTAGGTTTATCCATTCCAAGGGCACTTTTCTAAAATGACAGCAAAGGTTTTAACAATTGTTTGGTTGAGTCACTTTAATCTGATCTACCAACCCAAAGTTGGTAGCCATTTTTTTAAAGCATTAACACTGCAAATTAGTGAATAATGGAATGATACTATATATTATAATGATTTTTTTGGGGGGGGGTTGTGGGGCTTGAACTCAGGGCCTTGAACTCTTTTGCTCAAGGCTAGTGCCCTACCACTTTGCATCACAGGCCACTTGTGGTTTTCTGGTGGATAATTGGAGATAAGAGTCTCATGGACTTTACTGCCTAGGCTGGCTTTGAACCATGATCCTCAGATCTCAGCCTCCTGAGTAGCTAGTGAGCCATCAGTACCTGGCCAGCTTTGCCCTTTTAAATTTTATCAAAATCAATATGTTTGGACTTAGCTAATTATTGTGCAAGAAGTAAAACATGTTTGTACTTGTATTAACAAGGCATGCCAGTACTACAGATTTGGACAGTGAATCATGGGAGTTATAGCTTGTACTTTTGCTGGGTTTGGGGTGGAGGAGTATTGAGATTTGAATTCAATACCTTTGAGCTAGGCAGGCACTCTACCACTTGAGCTAGCCCTTTTTTTGCTTTAGCTATTTTTTGTGGAAAGGATCTGATAGGTTTTGCGTAGAGTCAGTCATGGACCTCAGTCTTCCTTCTCAAGACTCTATAGTTGGGGTTTATATGCACATTATGTGCTTGTTGCTTGAGGGGGAAGATTGCTAACATTTTGCCTCATTTGGCCTATGACCATGACTTTTTAAATTTTCACCTGTATAGCTGGGATTCAAGGAATGAGCCCTGGGCCCAGCCTGTGGACTCTCCTCTCACCCCAATCCCCATCCTTACCCCTCACACTGGGTTTTGAATTCAGGGCCTTGTTCTAGCTTAGAAAGCACTTTATCACCTGAGCCATACTTCAGTAATATTCATGTGTTTATGGGCATCTGCTTATTTTAGACACTTATTAAGTGAGGAAGATATACATAATGCTCTGTGAATATGTAAAGTAGAAATATTTTTATCTTTAAAAACTTTATCCCTTTGGTTGATTTTATTTTGTATAATACTGTGTATTACAGGTATTCCTCAGTTGGAGGATGAGTTTTACATTCTAATTAAGCCTATCAAAAGTCAAAGATATTATTAATCAGAAATGCAGTTATTAATACCCCAGTAAATCCCGTGTTAAGTAAAAACACTTGAAAGATTAACTGTTATAAATTATTTACATTTGGATTTGATGTCTTTGGGCTGACTTGACTAGTGCAGATGACAAGTGTGTAACATCTGGAGTAGAGAAATTAGAGATTGCATAGTCTCAGTCTCCAAATAATTTAACTGTGAGGTAAATGAGAGTGCCAGGTTAGTATAAACTTCCTTTCTGAATTTCCAGTGATATTATTTACTTTTCATGCTGAGTGTACTTTTTATTATTAAGCTGAGTGTAGTAACATACACCTGTAATTCCAGCACTTGGAATACTGGGACAGGAGAATCATGAGTTTAAGGCCAGCCTGGGTTTCATAGTAAGAAAAAGAAAAAATAACTTTAATCTTGATTTTTAATGAAGTTTAAGATCTTGATTTCTGGTTAAAATTAAAATTTGAAGGCAGAAGCAAACATGTTTCTCATTGAGTGTATCATTGGCTTAGCAACTTAATATACTTTGTCTCCATTTTGTGGTTGAAAATCTGGATGATTTCAAAATACTGCTAATTTCAACTCTGAGATTGAAAATCTTGATTTAGATTTTTTTTTCCGTGCTGGTTCTGGGGCTTTGAACATGAGGCCTGGGCACTATCTCTGAGCTTTATTTTTTGCTCAAGGCTAGAGTTTTACCATTTGAGCCACAGCTTTACTTCCAGCTTTTGGAGGCTTAATTGGAGATAATAATCTAATGGACTTTCCTGACCTGGCTGGCTTCAAACTGCAATCCTCATATCTCAGATTCCTGAGTAGCCAGTATTGTAAGTGTGACCTGTTGGCGCCTGGCTCTGATTTAGACTTTTTAAAGTCAGTTCTATGTTCCTAGCTTACTTACTGATCTGTTTATATGTAAACAGCTTACTTTAAACATGTCATTCACATAGTTGTTGAATACTGTGTTACTTAAAAAATGAGTTTGAGGCCAGATGTGGTGTGGTGTGTAATTGTAATTTCAGCACTTGGAATAATTGAGATTTGAAGCCAGCCCAGGCCTCATGGCACTGCAAAGCTAGACTGTGTCTAAAAGAAAACATTTTCTCAAAATTTTGAAGTTTCACGTTTCCTTCAGAGAAACTAGTCAAAATAAAAATAATACACTTAAGATCTGTTGAATAATGTATAAGACTATGTGTGTATATATGTGCATTTTGTTTTAGACAGGGTCTTATGTAGCCACTTGTTAGATATAGCTTCAAACTTAGCCATCTTCCTGCCTTAACTTCCCACTTGCTGGGATTACAAGTGCATGCCACCTTGCCTGGCCATATTGTAACTTTTATTTTTTCTGTTTTAATGGTAATTATATGTAGAAGTCAACAGATTTAAAATTTGATTTTTACAGAAGAAGTACATATAACCACTTAAGCAGCTGGTTGACAGATGCAAGGAATCTCACCAATCCAAATACTGTAAGTTAAATGACATCTTACTATACAAAAACTCAGACAGCACAGTCTCCTCCTTGTGAGATTTGAGTATTTGAGTGTTATGGATGAGATACTATATCTTTAGTTTTTATTTTTATATTTTCTGTAGTGCTGGGGATGGAACCTATGGCTTTATGCATTATAGACAGTCTACTAATGAGCTATGTCCCCATTCCCAGTTACCTTGATTTTATTCTTATATTAACTGATGAAAACACATTTTTCAATTCTTGTTTCAAGTTTATCATTTTACTGTTTTTGATTTTTATTATATTTGTGGTTTAAAATGAAATCATTTATGAATGGGGTGATAATCTCATATTAAGTGGAGATTGTAGTCTTATAAGAATTCTGCAGTCGTTTTATGAATTGTTAGTGTCAGAGAGAACTGGGGAAAACACATCTGTTAGTTCTTTAACTTCATGTGAATTTGTAATTAACTCAATTTCAACTGCATGTGAATTTATATTTAATAAAATTTCAATTAAAAATAAAAGGTATTTTGCATGCTTTAAAAAATAAACTTCTTAACTAAGAAGACATATTGAGATTTTAATGATCTTGCTACCACACTAGACTTTGCAGTACACAAAGATGAACTCATGTCCTTAGTCCCTGAGAGGTTATAGTTGATGAGGGAGAGAAAGAACCAGCAAGTGTACAGATAACTGTGCTGCAAAGCAGACTGAAAATGAGTTAACGTGGAGTACACTAAGCACAGGGTGAGCAGGGTCGGCTGGAGAAGTCAGTTTTACAGGCTGGTGGAATATTAGTCTGAAGTTGGAGCAAGCTTCCATTAGGTAATTGGAGGGTATTCCAGGAACAGTGGGGAACCACCACTGAGCTGTGGCTGACTGGGCTTTTTTAAGAACAAGCCTAGTATGTCCCAGAGCCTAGCAGAAGCCAAGTTGACATACAGTCAGTGGTAAGATTTGCTTTACTAGGGAACAGCAGTCTAATCATAATTAAAATTTAGTTAACAGTATACACCAGCAGCATTGCCTGGAACTCTGCTTCCATTTTTATACTAAACCCACTTTTGTACAATAACCTGTGGATGAATAGCCTAATGCTGAAAGCAGTCCAGCTGGCCATGGGCAGGTGCAAGTGAAGTAATGTATGCCTCTATACCCTGGAAAACGGGTAGTCACACACATTCTGATGAACTGTAGACACACGCAACAACTTAGACACATCGAAGGCATTATGCTGAGTTAAAGAAAATTGCAGATTGTATGATTATAAACTAGGTGGGCCAGAGCAGTTCCTTGTAATGATGGTGGTGCCAGATAACTATGCTGGTGACAAAACTTTTAGAACTACCCTTTTGCAAGTCTCACACATGAGAGCTGCTATAGATTATACCTGTTTCCTGGTTTTGCAATTATATTGCAGTTAGGTAAGTTGTTATCTTTGGACATGCTTAAAGGTACATCAGACCTGTCATAGTTTCTGCAGAATTTATATATAAGTAAGACATTAAATAATATTCATTGTAGAAGGCCCATGGAAAACTGTTGTAAAAATATTAGTTCTGTCACTCCTGCCTCATTTTATACTCTGAAATATACCAGCTCTTCAGAAGAAAAAAAATTTTGAGGTCCAGCGCAAATATCTCTATAGTTACCTTTGGTTTCTCATTTTCTTCCTATACATTGAACCTATCTTTTATACTATGCTATGCCACATTATCTCTCACCTCTGAAGGAAGTGGGAAACTTGGTTTGGAAATTTGTAAGGAATTGGGATTTTAGTCTTGGGGTGGGATGTTCTGGGACTTGAACCCAAGACTTTGTGCCTCCTAGGCAGCATGCTCTACCACTGAGCTACCCCTTGCCCCAGGAGGCAGTATTTCTTCTTTTGAGTACCTGTTTTATAATGGTCCTTTACTAGGCCTTTGTCATTTAAGTGTCATTATTTTCTTCTTTAATAAACTGTATAGGAGTAACTCTTTCCCTTTTCAGTGGGTACTGGATCATACTGATTGAAGAATGCTCACTTGTGTTATACTACTTAACATATTCTTTCAAAAGATTTATATTCAGGTCACATGATTATTTAGTTCACTAGTGCTATAAATTTATAGACACAAAAATTTGATGGTAGAAGCACCTTTGAATTAAAGCAATCCATTTCTATCTGGAAGAACAAGATAGAAACCAGCTATATCTGGTTGGAAGGAAGAAGGGTAAGGGTAGGTTGTGCAGAGATAACACACAAACACATAAACAGTTTATCCATACATCTTCCCTTCTCCTAAGTAAAGGCCAAATACTTTGTGATTTTCCAAGGGTACTTCCTTTTTTCTTAAAAAAAATATAACACTCTTTAATTTTGGTATAATTTACATAGATGATTCCAAAGCAGCTACACACACACACACACACACACACACACACACACACACACACACACACACACACACACACACACACACACACACACACACACACACACACACACACACACACACACACACACACACACACACACACACACACACACTATTATGCCCATAATTTACATAGATGATTCCAAAGCAGCTACACACACACACACACAATATTATGCCCTGAGTTTGAATCCGTTGAAGATTTGCTCTCATCCCACATTCCCAGTTCTCCCCTTCCCCAGTGAAAGTACATAGTGTGTTGCTATAAGCTTATTCCTGCTTGGGATATTGTAGGGTAGATACTTCTTTCTTTGTAGGTCAGTTTGGATTTCCTCCCTGGGTTCTAATGTACTTGTACCACTGACTCTCCCTGAGTTACCTTGGCAAGTCTGTTTGTCTTTTGAGCTTTAATTTCTTTGCCTGTAGCCTGAAGGAGTTGAGTTAGTGTTTGCTTTAATGTCCTAAGGGTCCCAAGTTGACCTTTTAGATGAAAGCCCTGAAATGTCTTCCCCAGTAGTGTTCATGTTTATATAATTCAGGCTTAATTGTAGGCTTTTTATGGATTCCCTTAGCTAATCTCACTCAGATATTCTTTGCCCTAGACCATTTGTATAATAACTACAATCTGGGCAGTATTTAACCCATAGTCTGCTTTTTAATGATTTGCAAAACCAAGAATGTTTTTACATTTTTTTTCTTTTTTTTTTTTGTCGGTCATGGGGCTTGAACCCTGGGCTTGGGTGCTGTCCCTGCACTCTTCAGCGCAAAGTGAGCGCTCTACCGCTTGAGCCACAGTGCCACTTCCAATTTTCTAGTGGTTTATTGGAGATAAGAGTCTCACGGACTTTCCTGCCTGGGCTGGCTTTGAACCATGATCCTCAGATCCCAGCCTCCTGCATAGCTAGGATTACAGGTGTGAGCCTCCAGTTCATTTTTAAGGGAATATAAAAGCAACAGCAAAAATTGCCAATAGAGACCATATGGGGATCACTCACTAGAAAAAAATGACCATTCTTTACTCAAAGATTGTCATTGCTATGTCATTGCTAAGGTGCCTTTATGCTTCTGTAGTTCCAGATAATGCTAATTCTTTGATTCCTTTTTGAACTCAGTTGTGCTTTTGTTTGGTCAGTAGTTTTGAATCTGAGAATTTACATGTTTAAAATGGTTCCTTGTTTTAAAGTATCTTTCTTTTGATCACAAACTAGGTAATAATTCTCATAGGAAATAAAGCAGATTTGGAGGCACAGAGAGATGTTACATATGAAGAAGCCAAACAGTTTGCTGAAGAAAACGGTGGGTTTCTTTTAATGGTCATACTTGGGAGGGTTTCTGAGAAAAGGTAGGATTTCAATACTACAGATTATTTGACAATTAAAAATATATAAATTAAAAAATTCCAGTATTGGAGGGATGAAATATGTTTATGAGACTCAGGAAGAATATAATTATATCATGAGAGGTCCTATACTTCAGAATTACATGCTTTTATAAATACCGTGGTAGGGGCACTGACAGCTTGTAGATAGTTCTAAGGGAATGTTCTTGTGAATTATTCTGAAATGTTCTAATTATAGTTTGGATTTTATTTTTAGGCTTACTGTTCCTCGAGGCAAGTGCAAAAACGTAAGTTTGCTGGACTGCATGTTTTAGTTATATTGTTTCTAAAAGTAGAGCTATACATATATACATATGGGTATACATATATATAGCATGTTATATATATAAAACATGTCTGTGTTACATGTATATGTGTTATATATACTTTATCTTATGTACATATATAATACTTAGGAAGAATAATCAGACATCTCTTCCTATTCTTGTTTCAAAATAATGTGATTTGTTTTTGTTACTTAAAAATTATACATTGAAGCCAGGCGCCGGTGGCTCATGCCTGTAATCCTAGCTAGTCAGGAGGCTGGGATCTGAGGATCATGATTCAAAGTCAGCCCAGGCAGGAAAGTCCGTGAGACTCTTTATCTCCAATAAACCACTAGAAAACGAGAAGTGGCACTGTGGCTTAAGCAGTAGAGCGTTCGCCTTGAGCTGAAGAGCACAGGGACAGAGCCCAAGCCCAAAGTTCAAGCCCCACAACTGACTCCCCCCCTCCCCCCCCAAAAAAAATTATACATTGATTTCATCTGTTGGTAACTCAGGTTAATAAAATTGTTTTAAAAATGTTTCACTTTTGTAACTGTAGTTGAATTTGGCATCTAAGACCAACTGTCGTTTGGCCAGCCTGTTCATATAATAATAATATTTGGTATCACCTTAAAAAGCATAACTTACACTAGGCACCAAAGGATCATATCTGTAATCATTGTTACTCAGGAGGCTAAGATTTGAGGATCGCAAGCCTGAGACTCTTTATCTCCAGTTAACCACCAAACAGCCAAGTGGATCTGTGGCTCAAGTGGTAGAGCACTAACTAGCCTTTAGTGAAAAAGCTCAGGGCAGTGCATAGGCCCTGAGTTCAAGCCCCAGGACTGGTATTAAGAAAAAAACCAAAAGAGGCTGGGAAGGTGGCTCAGTGGTAGAGCGCTTGCCTTGCATGCATGAGGCCCTGGGTTTGATTCCTCAGTACCACATAAGCAAAAAGAAAAAAGCCGGAAGTGGCGCTATGGCTCAATTGGTAGAGCGCTAGCCTTGAGCTGAAGAGCTGAGGGACAGCACCCAGGCCCAGAGTTCAGGCCCCACGACCGGACCCCCCTCCCCCCCCAAAAAAGAAAAAACCAAAAAGCCTAACTTAGAAATAGTGTCTAATTAGAAACATAATTAGTATTTTTTAGTGGTATTTCCAAGTCCATTATTGAGCTCTCTCACTCCTGGTCCCAAGCCAGCCTATCATTTATTGTTACCCTTGCAGTGGCAAGGAGTGCTAACCTGTTTCTATGAAGTCTTAGGTTTGCTGTTAGTCTCAGTAGAACTGAACTGAAGGGTGAACATGGCTAAGCATGACTGTGTCATGCCACATTATAGAAGCAGCAGTTTATATGTGGTTTCTCAAGTGATACAAATCCCAGAGTCCTGTTCCACATGTTTGGAGAACCTACCTGTCACAGAAACTGCCAAATTATGTATGTGTTAACATGTAGCATTTTAGTGATTAGAACAAGTAGGGTGTTTAGTACTGCTATGCTTTCACAGGAAACATTTCCATGTTATTCGCTTAGCCCAGTGTTTTGATAATCTCTTACTAGATGACAGTGGCTAAGTTGAAGACATCATGACATTTGACTAGAGGTTAACAAAAGGTCAGTGTATAATGTCTTATGTTTGTAGAAATCTGTGGTCCTGGAATAAAATTGTCCATTGCTTCTTAGGGGAGAGAATGTAGAAGATGCTTTCCTTGAGGCTGCCAAGAAAATCTATCAGAACATTCAGGATGGGAGCCTGGATCTGAATGCTGCCGAGTCTGGTGTACAACATAAACCCTCAGCCCCGCAAGGAGGACGGCTAACCAGTGAACCCCAACCCCAGAGAGAAGGCTGTGGCTGCTAGTGACCTCTTTGCCATGGCCCCTCATTTGACCTTTCACCTCTGTCTGTTGGAAGCAGTACTTTTTACTGCCTGTTGTCTTCTGTACATCTTACTGGGTTTAATTAAAAAAGAAAAAACAACTCTATTGTAAAAAACAGTTTAACACAATACTAAACTGCTAAACAACTAGATGTAATCAAGTTATCAAAGGCAAGTAGAGTAATAAATCTCTCCTGCATGGTAAATCTAGACTTTTTTTTCCCCCTCAATCGTCCTCGTGATAGGTATATGTCACCAATCTATGATTTAAACTGAGCACTGATGCTGGACTTGATGATTTTTACCCTCCCTTTTTGGCAAGGCTTTGTCTCACTGTATGGTTTAATTTGTTATCTTCAGCCTTTCTCCTGTCTTTAACTTAACTGTTCAAGTGTGGCTGTTGTAACCAGTAGTTCATTGCTAAGAAACGACTTCCGGTGGTAGAGAAGGGGTTCTATAACTGCTTTGGTTTTGTTTTTGTTGGATCAAATCCCTACTGTAGGGGCAGCATTTTTCTCAGTTTGCTTCTGTCTTGGCCTTGCACAGGAAAAATACTTATCTTTTCTCTTGTGCTTAATAGCTTTATCTTTTTTTTCCACGCCATTTTGTCCTTCTCTCTTTAACAGAAAGTAAATATGTATAAAATTTGAAGGAACCGAACTAACTACATTCTGTGTATATTATTTTAATGAAGAAAATAAATTGATTACTGGCATTGGAACAGTATAAAATACCAGTTTGTACAGTATGACCTATATGTGACCATGTACTCCCTTCCATTTCACACAAGACGTTCACAAGTAGTACTGGCTCCGCTCCTTGGTGCTGGCAGTGTTTGGGGACATGCTGGAGAAAGCTCCTAGCATCAGCGGATTAACACTAGCAGATTCTATTCCATCTTTGCACTGTGGCTCACCTGCTGATTTTAATTGTTCTTGTGCAATCAACAATGTGCTAACCTGCTTTTCTCTTTTTGTAAACGTTTTACATTACAGGCTGCATTCTTGCCTTACTGTATAGAAAAAGAAAAAAGGCTGGGTTTATTATTGCACATTTTAAGCTTTTATACCTTTATCTTCTTGGAATGGTCAGATTCTGAACCAGATGGTCAGAACCACAGGTCTGCTGTTATGGGATTTTTAATTGTGCATTTTTAACACTACAATGAAATAATTGGAGATTATCCCTTGTGTTTATAGTATGGGGCTATTTAACGTAATGTTGGAGTTAGTTGTTTTGTAAAAGGGAAAAGTGTTTCTAAAGGTGGTTCAGTGTTTGTGCTGTTAGAAAGTAAGTACAAGTAACCACCTTTGCCAAGTGATTTGGCTGCTGAAGGAACACCTTGTAAGAGAAACAATCTTACTATTTTAGACAGCAAACTTAAGTTCTACTAAGTTCTTCACTTCTGTTAAGTAATTTCTAGTTTTTATGGTTTGGTGGCTGGGAATTGACAAGTTATTTGAAGTGTAGGATAGGTAAGCGTGAAATGATTATATAAAATGCACTTGACTGAACTGCTGTTTAAAATACACATTTTAAATCCCTCTTTACAGACAGTAAAACGCGAAGTTACATCTTTCTGGGTTATAAACAGTGGTAGTTCCAGAGTATTGTATAGTCCATGTTAAATAAAAGCCCAAACTGGAATGTGCAGAAAATAGGATTGGGTTTATTTGTGGATTCATCTTTTTTTTTTTTTTTTGTCTCCGTTGAACTTTTCAAAAAAACAAGATTCCTGGAGTAGATTGATTGGTTTATTCTGTTCAGGACCTGCAGTGATCCATTTTGCTTACGCTGTTGCATCACAAGGGATTCACCCTGGGACCATGACCTGCTGGTGTGTATATATTTACAAAAACAAAGCAAACAAACCACGGATTGGGATATACAAACTAAAGACTGAGGCTTGTTTAGGTGCAATACCGATTCCCAAAGTTAGTTACAATGGGTCTTAATTGTTTTTTGTGACAGAAGGATTTATTCAGACTGCTGTATTCTTCATTTGATGTAACAAAATGCTATTAATCTAAATATTTGTAAATAAAGTACCTGTATCTAGATTAAAATTGGTCGCATTTTTTTCTGAACTATAGTAGAGCCTGTTTTCTTCAGGTGAACTCTTGGTGTACATTGTCAGTTTTTATTGCAGAGCTGTGCTTATTTGTTGTATAAAGAGAAGTCTACTTCTGTAGCATATGCAACCACATCACTAACTGAACTAGTTTTATTCTTGTATTTGCATCCCCTTTGCAATGTTTTCAGTCATCTTTTAGTCCGAGGCCAGCACATTTGTTGGCTAATAGTGTTCACCGTGACTGTACTTGGGGCCAAATTCTATTACTTGCATGTGTAATCCTCTATAATAAACTTGGGTGCTTAAAAATAGAGGAGCAAATTGTCATATTGTAATATGTGTGCCAGACACTGGGCAGTACTGGAGAGAAAGTCATTTAATTTTTAAACCATCAGTTTTTACTGTTTGTTCAGGTCACCTGATGTTCTGGGTTACTCATTGCCCTCTGGTTGTGACTGGTGCTTAGAACTATTTGTGTGACATTCCATGAGTGTTTTCATCAGCAATAAAGTGGTCTAGTGATTGTGATGTGGGGGTAGGGAATGACGGTGGTGTACACATCCTAGAGGTAAATTTCTTTGGAAACATTTCTTTGAAACATGAAAGATATCTTTAGAAACCAAGCTGTTTGTCTTCATATATTCATTACCTCACTTTGGTTTCTGCAAGCCTTTTTGTCCATATATTTAAAAAATGTGACTTAAAAAAAGTATGAAGGCAGAGCCAGCTTATGCCTGTAATCCTAGCTACCTACTCAGGAGCCTGAGATCTGAGGATCGCGGTTCAAAGCCAGCCCAGGCAGGACAGTCCATGGGATTTTTATCTCTAGTTAATCACTGAAAACTGGAAGTGGTGCTGTGCTCAAGTCAAAGTGTTCACCTTGAGTGAGTGCTCAGGCCGCGAGTTTAAGCCCCACAACTGGCCAACAACAAAAAAAAGCAATCAGAAACTGAATGGTTCAGTTTACATACCTTAAACAGAAGACCAAATACCTTCTCTTCCTGTCCATGTGGGAGTTTTATGGAGGAGTCTATCAATAACTTAATAGAACAAGCTTTTAAGCATTTTCCTGAACCAAGAAAGTGAAAGAATATGAATACAAAAGCCAATTTTGTCTGGAAAGTTTTCTAGGCTAGTGTGTCAGTAAATTGTATGTCATTTCCATTTGTTGTCTTATATGTATCTTGTATCTTAATTGTACAGTGGTAGCCAAGCAGTATTTCAGGAATCTTAAGTAACTATTCAGTGGTGAGGTACAGTGCTGACATGATACATCGCTGGTTATGGCTCCAGAGCTGTCTCGTAGCTTAGATGGTTCTTAGGAATGTCTGTTGCAAGGTGACTGATTCTATTGGTCTTAGGTGTATCGATTAAGGAGTTGAGCTGTTTTAGGAGTTCAAGTATTTAAGTCTGAATATATAATGTGAACTTAGCACTGAGTCTCCGAAGTACAGTTTTTCTAATTTTCCATAAAAGACTTGAGATAAAAGTATTTGAAATGAAGTTAATGGTTTTAAAATATTTGATTCAGAAATGTTGAGTATGACTTCAGCCTCCAAGTAAAGCATGGAAACCATCTGGAATATTATTGTTTTCTTGGAATTAAGGTACCAACTTGATAGCTTTGCCCAGAATCTATGAAATGTAAAGTCAGATGACAGAGCCAAGTTGACTTTTATTTTCATATAAAAATAGACTTTAAGCAGAATCAAAAAATACTATATAAATGAAGAGGCATTAAGTACATTCTTTTAAACTACATTTACCAGTGGATGAATTCAAATAATGCAGTAAAATCCATTGGCTTTGTAAAAATACAGTTCAAAATTTTAAAAAGTCAGCAAACTGGAACCCCAGTTTAAAATGTACAGTTATTCCCATGTGTACAAGTGACTTATGCCTTGGCATTACTGGTACAAGCATGGTAAATTACAGTGGAGTTTCAGCATTCAATCTAGATAGAAACCAAATGGCATTCCGATTAGGAAGTTGAGGTAGTGGAAAAGGTATTTCCTCAGATACTGATGCAAAGCAGTCTGTCATCTTGTTTGAGCACTCCTACAGGAAGACAAAATAGAATTACATTCTTGAAACCGGGGCTGGGAAGGTGGCTCAGTGGTAGAGTGCTTGCCTCGCATGCATGAGAACTTGGATTCAATTCCTCAGCACCACATAAGCAGAAAAAGCTGGAAGTGGCGCTGTGGCTCAAGTGATAGAGTGCTAGCCTTGAGCTGAAGAGCTGAGGGACAGCCCAGGCCCAGAGCTCAGGCCCTGGGATTTTCTTTCAGGAGAGGCACTGAACTCAGGGCCTTGTTCATGTTAGGCAAGCACCTTACTATTGAGCTACAGCCCCCAGCCTTAACGCTTAAGATTAATTAACCCCTACAAAATCTATGAGAAAAAGTTAGGCCTAGTGTCAGTGGTTCTTGACTATAATCGAAGCTACTCAGCTAAGATCTGGAGCTCTTGGTTCAAAGCTAGCTAGATAAATAATCCATGAGATTTATCTCCATTAACCAGTTAAAAATCTCCAAGTGGCTCATGCCTATTATCTTAGCTACTCAGGAGTCTGAGAAGGATACTGGTGTAAAGCCAGCCAGGGCAAGAAAGTCCACTCTCATATCCAATTTACCACCAGAAAATCGGAAGTAGAGCTGTGTCTCAAAGTGGTAGAGTGTCAGTCTTGAGCACAAAAGCTCAAGGACAGCGCCCAGGCCCTGAGTTCAAGCCCTACGACCAACAACAACAAAAAAGCCTAGTGAGATTATGAAGCCCTGAATTCAAGAGTGCTAGAGTAACATGATTTACTGATTGAAAGTGCTAGCTGCAGGGTCTCTGTAACATACCCTTGTGAGGAAGCAGACAATGGCCTCCGTGTCAGTAGCTGGCTCGTTCTGATGAGCCTTGCGCAACCTGGAAGGAGATCTGAAAAGGAAATAAACATTAGGCCCAGAAACCACTCCACCACTCCAGTTTCAACCTAGTTTGCAGCTTTAGCCTGCATAGCCTAACCTTTAAACAATTCTAACACCCTTTCTCTTGGGCCTCCAGTGTCTTGTTAACTTCCTGTCTTTGGTGTGCCTGAACCTTGCCAGCTGCTATCTTGGGCTGAATAATCTGATTCCTAAATCTCCTGTGCTCTCAATCACGGAAGCCCACCCACATCCCTAGTGCCCAGTGCCTCTTTAACTCCTTCTCTGTGGGGTCATGATGTTTTGAGCCTTAAGTTTGACTTTGGTCCCCACCACAACAGTTATGGTAATCATATTCAAATTAAACTAAGCTCCCAATTACATGCCCTACATAGCTTTCTCCCATTTGGGGTTTTCAACAAACACACTGCTCTATGGTAAAGGTGGGTTAGTCCCTAAATCCTGATTTTGTCCTTTGCTACATCTAACACCCAAGTCATTTTTATCTTTTAATAGTTTCTTTACCTACATAAAGGGATAATTTCTATCTCTCAGATGTAAAGATTAAATGGGCTATTATATATAAAGTGTTTAGTAGGTACATAGACACTTAAAAAAATAGAAAGCTCTTCTGTCAGTAGTAATATGGCTAGTTCTACAAATCTATGTAATGTTCCCCTCCCAAATGATTACTGAACTTTTTTTTTTTTTGGGTCCAGTCGTGGGCCTAAACTCTGGGCCTGGGCGCTGTCCCTTAGCTCTTCAGCTCAAGGCTAGTGCTCTACCATTTGAGCCACAGCACCACTTCTGGCTTTTTTTTTTGTTTGTTTGTTAATGTGGTGCTGAGGAATCGAATCCAGGGCCTCATGCATGCAAGACAAGTGCTCTACCACTGAGCCACCTTCCCAGCCCGATTACTGAACTTTTTATATAGACCCTGGGTTAAAAGGTCTACATTCAAATTTCATTGCAAATAGGCATCTGCAGTCATTTTTCCCCAAGACACAGGGATCCCACACAAGTGAACTAGAGCACAGTACTCGCTTCTTCATTCTGACCAGGTGGGGGAAAAGAGGATACAAGTGGAGGGCCTGAAGAGTATGACTGACGACATTACCCTATCTCTAGCTCTAGTCTATTTCCTAAAGCTATCAGCTTATCTCCTTTTTCTATATGTTAGGAGATTTGAATTTTCTCAGCAACCCCCCAAACAAGTTTTCCAAAGATGAGATGGCATTTAGATGCCGGCTCTTCCCTGGATCATGTTCTCCGAAGCTTTCATGCACTTCCGTGTGACATTCTCAACCCTTCAGGACTTCCTCTTACCTGATTCTGTCCAGGCTGTGTGTCCACCACAAGGGAAGACTCCACCGGGGACACACCGGGTGATGATGTTGAATCCACGGAGGTGCTGGTCACCAGTTCCCCTAAAGCATCGACTTGTCTCCTCAAACTGTGTAAAGTGCCTTCTGTCTGCCGCTTCCCTTTGATCAGTACTTCTGCTTGCTTAGACATACAGTGTCGTAGCTGGGCCTGAAAAGTGTTAGGGTAACATTTAGAGTTTTAAACAGAGGAAATGTACCAAAACTATGACTCAGCTTCCACATACTTAACATCTGATAGTCTGTTGTGTAGTACCAGTGGCTGTTTGCAGCTGCACAACTCCTTTAGAAGTTGAAGGAGGTACTAAATATCATCCATGTGTGTGCATAATGCCCATTAATTAATATTTGCATCGCCATTAACCTGGCCTTTTACTCAGCCTGGATTTTTTCCCTTTTGCAGTACTGAGACTCTGTCCTGCAATAATGCTTAGTATCTCTGAGCCCTCTGCCTCCATTGTAAATTGTCACCTCATCTCTTTCTTCATCTACCAAGAACTTAAATCTGTTCTCTCAAAGCCTGTGGCAGTGCAGTCCACAAGAACTTTCTGCGATGAAGGGAATGTTCTCTACTTGATACAGCAGCGTCTAAACATATATACAACAGAAGAAATGGGGCAACTCAGACAACGAATGAGTGGATCTAGAAAATGTGGTACCTATACACAATAGAATTTTACATAGCCATTAGAAAGCAT